AAGAAGAGAGAGAGAGAGAGAGAGAGAGAGAGGAATGCTAGAGAGAACATACTGTTAAGAAGCAGTCCGTAAGAAGTCAAGCACACTCTTAACCAGTAATAGCTGGCTTGGATCTGCAGGATCTATGAAGCAGAAATGTTGTACCCTTTTCCTCCTTATATTTTGCCTAGGGCTCAATGAAGCGAGGTCTTTGTTTGCTACGCGGCACAGTATAACGAAAGGTACGTAAAAGGTAAATTTTGGTGTTCCTAAGGTGCAGCGAAATGACCTTGTATTATTGGTCTGGGGCACGCATATTATGCTCCCGCGCGAGCATACGATTTGTAGACTCCCTTATGCAAATACTTAATTAAAAAGATTATTCTAGGTTTAATTCTAAATTTTAAGAAGCAAAAAGATTTTTTTCAAAATAAAAAATTTGAATTTTAAGTTTTGTGATACTTAGATTTCGCAAAATTAAACAGTATCCATTGAATGTTGAGGCATTATTATTTTTAGTATGTAGAGAGTTTTTCCGATTTTTTTTTTTTTCTTCCAGAGATTAATTTATGGGTTGTAGAGATTACATCTCAAATATTTTGAAGAAATGACCGTTAATGCTTATTTCTTAGAAAAGTTTGTACTTCCAGTTTCTAGCATTATTTAATGATGGAATTGGAAACCTGATATCACAAGCGTTATAATACCACAAATGCCTTCGTTATTGAATAGAGTAACCGTTATTTAGTGTCACGACTATTTATCAGCCTCCATGGGTACCTTTCATATCGCGTTGTGTTCGATCCGGTAGCATTTGTAGGGTGTGGTTTCCGTAAGTCGCAACTTTAAATAATCCAATTAAGACGCATGTTCAAATTTTATCATAACATATTATTTTGATGTAAAATATTAATGTAATTTTATATCTAATTATAAAATTTTAAACTCCTACTATTCAAAATATACATATAAAAAATTTTAAACTCCAAAAATAGTTAAACATCAAGTAAATTTATAAACATATGAAAATCTTAAAAATAGACGGTCCAAATAATATGTTGTAAGATGCACTATTTCTGAGACTCAAAATCTTTTTATTTTTCATAGTCATACACCTTGATGTCGAAATGACCAATCATAGGGTTTTTCAACATTAAAACAACCTTTTTCGGTAGATTTTTGAGGTGCATCCGTAATTCTACATTTTAAGGTTGCAACCTTGTATAAACTTTTTCCTTATAATAATCATTATTTCGTAAACAAGGGATGTACTCATAGCCTCCGAAGTGATCCAATATATCTTTATTTGCGCCGTGATATAACCACGATAAAAGTTAGGAAAATTAGAGTTAAGAGGTTGAGAGGTATAGCAAGAATAAAAGGCTTTATAAATTTCTTTTTGTTTAAAGAAAAGATTTGGTTTTATTGGTTTCTTTTCATTTAAAGAAAATATTTGATGAGATAGGCGCTCAACCTACTAGACTTTATGGCTCCTAGTTTTGAAGAATGGGTTTTATTTTTAGATTTTGACAGTCTTCGGAGAAAACTCTGCCCACTTGCGGTTTGGATCTGGCCTCCTTTTATTTATTTTTTGGTTTCTAAAGGCCGTTTAGGTACCTGGAAATGTACTGTATGTGAAATACATTACTGACGTAATACATTGCTTGAAAATAGATTGTTGTTGTTTGGATAGTATCGAGATGCAACCTGAGAAATACATTGCTACTATTTGGCCGCATCTTAAAGAAATCTAGAAAATGCATTACTATCATTTTGGCTTAGAAATAATGCATGAATTTTATCTATAGTAATATGATTTTTTTGTATAATTCTCTTTTTTTTCTGTTTTTAGGATAAAATATCAATTAAAACAACTTTGTGTTCAAATATGTGAAGGCAATAACCACATTGATGTGCGTATAGAAATTTTACTCCACTTGAAATGGCACTGCCTTGTTGGAAATACTTTATGTTAATCCAAAGCACCTGGTCTTCCTTAGTCATTTCTAGGAACATCTCACTAGTATGCATGTCTTCAATGATTTCTTTATATGCTCACAGGAAGATAGGTTGACCAAGGCTGTGAACCTGATTAAGAGCTTCGTAGACCTCTCAAATATGTGGGTTTGCTGCTAGTTTTCTCATCTCTACAATTGCAGTACCAATTTCTTTCACGGCCACAACTATTCTTTATAGTTTCAGCCATGATTTATTTATCTTCTTCGGTGGCTTGATCGATGATTGCTTCTCCAAGGGATTAGTGGTCATTCCATTTGTCTGTGATTGGATGGGTGTCTTTGGTAGGCCCTCATTACTACCTACTTCCTCAACACCATCATCATCATTTAAGCCCACAACCGTGTCTCCAACTTCCTCAACATCATATTTCATTTCCTTCTTTAATTGTGTTGTCGTCCTGGCAACAGTACCCTCGTCCAAATCATTGCCGACAATTATACTCAGTTCTTTCCGATATTCAAAGGATTTCTATTTGAAGTTGTTTGTATTTGGATGAGACTACAAGATTCGTATAATAGACATTAATCAAAGGAAAGAATTTATAATTTTTCAAATAATAGCAAATTACACATACAAATGGTCGGGCTTGGATTTACCTCACTCGGGTTCCCTCTGGGACCCGGGCTTGATGAACCCCCTCTCGGACAACCGCTTGACCCACTGCACGTGTATGCCTCATGTGTCATGTGCAAATAGGTATTTCCAACGGTGATAGGATTTTAAAGCAGTAAAGAGGTGAACTCGAACAACAACCTCACTGTGATTGAGTTTGTGAGACGCGTCCGGGTCGTAGCCCTCTTAGATCAATTACAGAAGCCCTCCGGTTGTCCAGCAGCACGATTTGAATTCGACCCCCTCTGAAATCAATATCCCACTTGGACTCTCACAAAAAGACTGCTAATGGAATCCACTTATGATAAACTCCTCTTAATGCATGCATGGGATAGTGGTTCTAGTCTCAAAGGCTTGAGTGATAAGAAAGATGGGTAAGAAAGAGAAGAATGAGAGTGGCTTGATGAGAGCTTTGTTTAGAGGTAAGAAGAAGAAAAAGACGATGAGATAGAAGAACTGAAGGGATGACCCGAGAATCAAGCAGCCTCCCAACGTAATTTTTCCTAAGAGGTATTACCAAAGATAAGGAAAAGCACCAGGCTCAAAGCCTTGATATCTGAAAGATTTGGAATGTGGAGCCACGGGACTTAGCCCATGACTATGTCACTAACAGAAAGAGCCCCCTAAAAGTGATCCAGAGAGAGAAGAGAAGAGAGTGAAAGAGAGTGAAAGAAATAGAGATTTCTCACAGCTCAAACACTATGTAACCCGGTGGTTAGAGTAGTTCAAGGGTTAAAACTCTAAAAAAGTTGTCTCAAGATGACCCCAGCCCGAGTGATCGAGCGCAAGAGAATTTGTGTCTCTTGTAACTCAAAAACACTATGTGATCTGATGGTTAGAGTAGCAGTCTGAGAGTTAGAGCCCTAAGAAAACTATCTCAGGAGGACCCCGGCTCAAGTGCTCATGAGTGAGAGAAGAGATGAGTGAAGAGAGAGAATAATAATAATAATAATATAGAATGGAATGAGAATAGGTGAATGAGAAGTGAGGGTGTGAGTTAAAGAGAGAGAGAGAGAGAGAGAGAGAGAGAGAAAGAGATGAGTTAAAGAGATGAAGAGATGTTGGACCCGCCTATGGTGCGGGTCTGTGCATATTGGGCGGTTAGGTAGAGGTGAGAGAGGTTAGGATAGAGATGGGTAGAGGGAACTCACCTATGGCACGAGGGAGAGTAGAGAGGGAGAGAGAGAGACAGACTTACCTAGGGCACAGGTCCATGAAAAGGCGAGAAGGTGAGAGGGTGAGAGAGTGGGTAGACGGACCTGCCTAGGGCGTAGGCCCGTGGCTTAGGCGAGTGAGAGAAAGAGAGAGTAAGAGAAAGAGAGGGAGAAAGCGACGGGCCTGCCCTAGGTGCGGATCTGGGGCTTTTAGGCGAGAGAGATGGAGTAAGCAAAGAGAGAGAGAGAGAGAACAAAGAAGGAGATAGAGTGAGAGAGCAATGGGAGAAAGAGAGAGGGTGGAGCTCGGGCTTGCCCTGGGTCCAAGTGAAGAGAGAGAAAGAGAGAGCAAAGGGGGAAAGAGAGGGCGGAGCTCGGACCTACCCTGGGTCTGAGTGAAGGGAGAGAGAGATAGAAAGAGAGAGAGGAAAGAGAGTGGACCTAAAATGGCTCTAGCCTAGGTGCGTCTTGAAGTGTCCCTTTTGCATGCCCCTTAGAAAGAGGTCTTGGTCCTTGTAGATATGGAAGCTAAGGTGTAAGTGTTAGGCTAGTCTGTATGGAAGGTAGGGTGTATGAATGCTAAGGTGGGAGAGCTAAGGTGTATGGGATAGGCTATGGTGTATGGAGTAGGGTAGGATGTAGGAAAGCTAAGGTGTATGAGGTAGGGTGTATGGAGTAAGATTGGGAGTTAGGAATCTTAGAGTGTATGGGAGCTAAAGTGTATGGGGTAGAGAGTGTGGAGTTCAAGGAAGTTGGAATTTTAAAATTCTAAGAAGTTAGGGGTACCTAGGGGTAGTTTCTCTCTCTATGAATTATTTCTCTCTCCTCTCTCCTTGAATTTTGGGTTTGGGATCAAAACAAAAGGAAAAGCGTAAGCTCTTTGAATGCTCAAGATTTCAATTGATTTACAGAACTCATTTACAAATGACTTCATTTTGCTTATATAGAGTAATCCCAAAATATTGATGGATACTCAAAAATCTCTTGTTGAAAATTACACATTTAATGAATAAAAATAATAATCCCGTTTTTTGAATTAATGACCAAAATACACCTAAGTATTTTTTATGAAATGACAAAATCATCCCTCCATGAGGGACTTTTTTCCATTGCTAAGCCTTGAGAACTTTTTCGGATGTTTCTAGTGGCAATTCGAGTGATCAAATATCGTAGAATCGATGCTTGGATTATTATGCACGTTTCAATACCATTGATCGTCTTGAAATTGAGTTTTAAGAAAGAACCCAAAATCCGGCCAAGTCCATAAACTTTTGATTCTTCGACCACCGATTTGGTATGATCTGTGATGTTTCGAAACTTCACTTTGATTAAAAAATTTGAAGATGATATTACCACGATCATTTTGCAATAAATTTTGTCCATTTTGGTCTCTGTTTGAGGGAGTTCTAAATTTGG